AGCCAATGTATTTGGCTTTCTTCAATATTTTACCATATTCTGAATATCCTAGCTTTATGGATTTATTTAGGGGATAATTGCGATGTGCCTGTCAGTTATGGATAGGTAAAGATAGATAAAGATATCACTATTGACTCTCCCTAAAAACATGCAGTTTCTGAGGCGCAGAAACATTTTTTTTAATTTTCTGTTATTCCAAATCAGAGCACCTGTACTGACAATGCTGTGCAAACTCCACTCCATCTTAATATTTTGTTTGGAATTATATCAATTTATTCTTTTAATAAGTCTCTGAACATTATTTGTTGTGACACAAGAAACATCAAGAGTAGAAATGTTAGCCCTGTTTCTGTATCATATCACAACTTCCATTGACCTTATTATTACCTTCTGTGTTTAATTTTTCCTTTACCTGTTTCTTGTTCAGTAGTGTAGTTTACCTATGATATCTTTTGCTTTTGGCATGTGTGTATTTTATTCCCAAATGCATTGCTTTGCATTTGTCCAAGTCTAATCTTGTTTTATTTCCTGCTTAGATCCCTAGTCTTTTTGGTTTGTCTGTATGTGAGGTTAGTGTGGATGGTCTGCTGCAATACACCAGCTCTCCTTGCTTCCTTCCCTGAGTGGAAACCATGGTGAAGATGGGACCAGCAAGAGGCCAGACCTCATCTTGAAATGGTACTGGAATGTGGCCATAGGACACACTGGGACCCAGGAACTGGGAACACCCCCAGGGCCTTCATGTCTACGAAGCCTTTGAGTTCCTAGCCTTTGAGTTCGCTGTTCCAAAACCTAGCAGATGATGCTGTTTTCACAAATATGCTGACTGCTTCTCCTTCCAGATCAGTAATGAAATTAAATAGCACATCTTGCTCACGTGCTATATTCCCATGCCTCATGCACTGAAAAATCTCCTTACGAATCAAGTATTTACTTAAAGAACCTATACCAGATTTGGCACTAATTGCATTTTGTTCAAGTTCTTGAGCTGCTCCTGTTTCCTCAGTATCCTGTATCATTTGGCCTCTCTGTTGATGCTTTTATTAGAGAGCCTAGACAATGACTGATGAAGGTAATTACCTAAACTTCCCTTTAAACACCAGCAGTAATCATTCCCAGTCAGGTTTTCTGTGCTATTTTCCCTGATTTGTAAATGAGAATGTCAGAATCAATTCAGCACTTTCCAGAGGGAGAATAATTTGCTGTTAAAAATCATAAAAGAAGCTAAGAATGGAAAATAACCATACTATGGGCTGCATCAGACTGATGTTTACTTTATAAAACAAGTAACTGATGTTTCCGCGGGATCAGTTTTTCCAGCACAAGTCTGGGACCAGAGTACTTGTAGGATTACTCTTAATTGATCATGCTTCCTGCTTTTCCCAAGGTGTTCATGTCATGTTGATACAGTAATATATGTTGCAGCACAGCCCATCTGTATAATGTTGCTTAGAATGCCCCCCAAGTATTTGCTATTGCATGTTAATTCAGTATTATTTAAGGATAGTCACTGAACGGTGTAGCATTACTTCATTGTTGAACTGCTCACACAGCCTGCCAAGCTTAACAGTCAGCCAGATCAAAAAATTATCCCTTTTAACTTAGAGAAACCGTCATTCCCACCAAAAAGGAATCCACTGCAAATGATAAAAAAACAAGAGTGAATATGGTGTACCAAGTGCAAATAACAGAACATGAGGTAGGGTCCCAGAGAACTCGACAACATAAATGGACCTCTCTTTATCGCCACAAGAAAGTCAAGGGCTTTCAGGGCCGGAAAGCTTTGTTTTAAGGAAATTATGTCTTTGATCTAGTCCTGATTTAAACATACGCATATCCAGCATGCTTACTCAGCACTCTATTAGCACAGTATAGCAGTAAAACCATTAAAAGAAAGAAAGAAAGAAAGAAAAACGTTGACCACTAAGTTGGATTGCCACAGAGGATTGCATTGGAGATCTCTACATCTGAAAATGAAATTGGCCCAACTTAGGCTGAAGAGCCAGGTCAGGAGGTCAGTTTTACTATATCATAGGGAGGAAGAACTGCAGGGGAAGGAGGAAAGGGGAAAATCTTGGAACTAGTATCACGTATTCACTGATAAGTTACACTGTTTGAGGTACATGCTCATGCAGCTATACGAAACAGCTGTACTGGGTCACACCAGAGGTCCTTCAAGCATAATATGCAGGCAATGGTAGATACATAAGGAAAAATTTAAGAACAGAGCAAGAAGGTGTTGGTATTTCTCCAGGACATGCTGCCAGCCTCCAACAATTTGCAGCTTGGGGAATTCCTGTGGCAGAATTGGTGTCTTGTGTATTTAATGGCCTACAAAGGACTTTTCATTACATAAGAGCAGGTAATCATATGGCCCCCCCACTTGAATCTTTGCCCTCATAGGAAGGTGTCTGAAGGAACACCTGAAGAAATATATGAATATAAATTTTCTGAAGAAAGTCTCATTTCAGTACGGCAAATCAGGCACTAGTTCACCAGTCTCTCCATAAGGAAGACGTGGCCTTTCTTTTTAAATTCTGCTATATTATTCTATATATTCAGTGCTACTATTCAGTGCATTCTATATATTCAGTGCTACTGTTAGTCATAGAAGAGTCTATTGTATCTCCTTTCTTTTCCCTCCTTTACAAGGCAAGTAAGAAAAGGTACACATGAAATCATTCACAGCACTTCTAGCTATTTCTGATCAGTGGTCCTATACAACCCACCTTGATTTCGAGACTTTGCTCTCCCACTGGGCTGTGCAGAACACCTGCTGTAGGACTAGGTAGGCTCAGAGAGACTCTAGTATTAATTCAAAGCCGGTGTACTGCTTTAGCTGCCAAACTGCTCATCAGGCTGCAGAAGAGCTTGGTCTCAAAGATGTAGTCGCTACAGAACAAATTCAAGCTACGTGATCTTGAAAACAGGAGATGGTTAGCATTCTTGCTGTATCCCATCCAAATTTTGTGTGATCACCTTTATTACCGTAGGATGTTTGGGTTATTCTTATTCAAATATTTTGTTAAACTCGCTTGGAGACTGGTATAGGATTTGGTCCTGTGCTAGTGACAACAAAGCACAATTGCCTGTTTTGACAATCCAAATTATCCTTGAGGATAGTGGAAAACAATGAGAGCTGTTGCTTAGAATAGGAAATGAGTACAATAGAGACAAAACTGCAATATCTATTTAGAGGGAATCATAGGAAATAGGAGTATTGTCTAAGATGAGAAATTTGGGGTTTGGGAGCATTAATTTTTCTTAACGCTTATTTTGGACACTGTAGTCCATTTCTGGATCTAGCTTGACATCTTCAGAAAATGGAAGATTTCTTCCTCTCTCCAAAGAGGAAGAAATCAAACAGACACTCCCTTCAAAACTTGAACTGTTTGAGGGCTCCACTAAAGAAGTAATATTCCATTCCTGTAGCTCGTCACCTGATACATACAATACTTAGTCAGGACTGGAAGTTATTGCCGTGTTGGCTGCATTGTACCCTTTTTGAAATGACTAGAGCGTTTTCAAACCTTTTCCTAGTGCAGAGTTATCCTATTGATGAGCCTGGTATACAGGTATACCTAGGGTGAAAAATGATCCCTGTCCCACTTGGCGGTAACTGGCATTGATTTTTCATGCTCCTCGGGGGGTCAAGGACTTCAGAGGCTTTATCGGGTGCTGTTCCTTGGTTCCTGGGGAAGGTAACTTGAAATATTCTGGAGAAAGGCCACTCCACCTGTAAAATGTTTTGCAGGTGTGTAGGTCATCAGTTGGGTCATCCATATCTTCTAAAACAGAGATGGACAGATGAAAATGCTCCTGGTTTCAGGTTGTCATGAAGAAGTAGGATCCTTTTTAATTTCTTCTCTTCTTCGTGTTCTCCCCTGTTTCCTTCCATAACTCAGAGGTGACAAAAGTGCCCACTTATTCCCCACTGTCTTTCTTTGCTTTTCATTCAGTTGTTCTGGTCAGATTTTGGAACAGAATGGGTCGTGTTAGCAGATCCAAAAAAAAAACCCAAGGAAGGGTCCTGTTTACACCATGATTTTACAACAGATTAGAAAACAAGCTTTGGTTTTGAAGTGGGTGTTTCCATTTTCCTTTTGCACAACTATTAGATCACTAACTTGTCTATTTGTCACTCCTTTACTCACAGTAACCATGGCTTTATAATAAAGGTTATTTCTATTTCTTCTGTCTGCCATCACACAACAGGCAGTTTGTTACACATACACAAATTAAAATAACTTGTTCTACCGCATTGACATATTTAAAGATTGTACAGTTTGTTACCATTCTTTTTTTGCCCCTAGAGTCATGCAGACTGCCCAGCAATTGAAGCAATTGTTAAAATGTATGGCAGTAAACCCTAGAAAAGTTCTCCTCTGAGAGCAGGGAACAAGAAAGCAAATCAAGATGAATAGCTCTATCAAGGTGAATAGTTGCCTAGATAGTTCCAGAAACTCATCTGAGTGGATGAGATGATAATTACTCGTGTGTTCATTATGAATACCGGAAACAGTTAAGTTTAGAAATGACTAGGGATGTGTCAGAGCAGTATTTTATTCCCTTTTTTCCAGTAGGGGTTTTTGTAGTACTTCTGAAACACTTGCATCTTCCCACTCTAAACAGGCCATATTTTCCTTCCCTCTGTTTCTCTCCCTCACCTCAGTTTTCTTTCCCTAAAATTCCCTATAAACTTTTTATTTCTCTTTCCATTATCCCTGCTGCTCGGCACTATCACAATAAATTTCAGTGAGTTTTTGGCTCTTTCCATGGCTTTTTCATGACACCCTCTTTTTAGAGTAAAGTATGCTGGGACAGCCTGTCTGCTTTGCAAGGCATAGACATTGCTTTTTTATTTTATTGTATTTGTTTTTAACCAGCTGGACTGTATCAGTCATTGGTCTTCTCCTTGATGAAATTTTATATTGGATCCAGTCAAGCAGCAGTCCTATTGCATTTTATATTTCTCTTTTTCTCTTTTTTCTTCTTTATAGAATCAAGATGCCAGTCCTAGAATCTTTACCCAGAATTATGAAAGGCAATGTGGGAAGCCTGAAACAGAGAAGAAAGGTATCTTCATGACTTGTGGGAGTGCAGTCACCACCGATACACCTTCAGAAATGCTCTGTCCTGAAAAGACATTACACGCAAAAAATGCAGCTTTACAAACCTATTCTCAACACCATGCTCCATGTGATAAGAGTGAAAGTGGTCAGCAAAAATTCTTCTGGGAACAAGGAATTAATATTATTAGTAATGGCAACAAATCAAAGAATGAAATTTCAGCTTGTTTTTTTAGGGAAGCAGACTCTGTTCCTAATAGACAGGAACATTTATGTGCTGTTCTGTCTCCTGCAAAGCTATGTGATGAGCCAAGGGAGAGAGGGCAAAGGTGTAGTTTTGACTTACATGAGCGCAATGACACAGATACTCTCTGTGTTGTATCATGTGATAAATATCTGTTTGACGCTAATGACAAGACAGTCCAGGAATCTGGAGAACCTGGGTGCAAAGGAGATGCTGATTTATCGGCAGTGCATGACAAGCTGTGGAAGCTTCTTCATGATGTTGACTCGGACTGTCAGATCCCATTTGAGAACCGGGGGATCACAAGTTTAGAAATTAGGCCAACGGACGTCAAAGTCAGAGAACCGAGCTTTGTGCAGGAGGCTTGCCCTGATCATCCGTTGTCAATAAATTTGATAGAAGAGGAGGAACCTATTGTACGGCCACCTAGTAGACAGAGAACAGAGAAAGAAGATTGCAGTGTTTCTAATATCCTACTACAAACAGATGAAGCATGTAGCAGTGCACCCACAGGAAACATTTCCCTTGCACAAGTGGCAGAGACGGTTGGTATACATCAAGGTTCTAGCACTGGAAATAGAACAGAAGCACCATCCATTCGTATTTCAGCAAATAGTATATTAGATGGAGAGGAGTGCTTGGAGCAAAATTCAAATCAAACACTAACTGGCAATAATGGATCCATTCAAATGACTGCTGTCCAGGAAGGAAAGCTTGCTGTTGATAATGCTTTCCGAACATGTGATGCAGATTCTCCTCAAAGATTAAAAAATGCTCAGAGTAGTAATTTTGAATGTGACAAAGAAAACCCAGCTTACATGTCAGATAAGTCTATTGGACAATTACTTTGTGCTGATCAGAACATATCCTTAATGAATGAGACTGCAGCTAAGTGCACAGATGAAGATACTGGTAAACACTCTACTGTTAGAGACTGTTATTCATCAAGAAAAGAACTTGTTTATTTTCCTGAGCAGAAGAACCTTTTCCCCTGGAATTCCTCTGGTGAAAATGCCGATCAAAAACACTTTTCTGTTGAAGCTATACATAAAAGTACTGAAGAGGGTTTACAGGGAAAAGGAAACCACTCAGACTTGAATGCAGAGAATGCAGAGAATGGCACGAATTCTGGCCATTACCATCTTTCAAGAAAAGACTGTAAAGATTTTCACGTTGTTTCTAATGCACAGAAATGCAGTTACCTAATGCAATTGCCTAATTTAATTAAGACTCCTGAAACCGCAAGATGCAAGAATCTACCCCAAAACATACACCAAGCGACAGAGATAGAAAAGCAAGAAGAAGCATGCATTCCATCTTATGAGGATCATTTTTTAACTGATTTTTTGGTAGAGGTGCCCCAATACGAACAAAGTAGAACAAGAGAAGAACAGAGAGACAATGAACAAAAGGCTGAAACTTCCTGTGGCACAGGAGTGAAGCATGTTTCAGAAAGTCAGCCTGCAGTTTCCTCTCAGAATACAACAGAACAACATGTATTTTTTGTTGACCCCACTTTCGAGTCTCATAAAAAATTCAAAACAAATTCTTCAAAGAATCACACACATGCATCTGGGAGTGCAACACCACTTAGCACCCCACAGCCTGGAAGGCTTCACAATGACTACGCCAGCATAGCAAATGAAGATTATAAAGATACTAGTAATCAGGTGGATATCCAACAACTGACCATAAGAGAAACATTGCCATTCTTTATACCCATGGGCCAGCCAGAGGGCTCTATTACTAATGTGTCAGCAACGGGATGTTCCAGCGTAAGAAGTCAAGTGCAAACCGAAAGCACACAAACTGCAGTCAAAGTGGATGAAAATTTGAATAAATTGAAAACTTTTCCCAAAGCACTGCAGGGTCAGTTCCAAAAGAACAAGGAGGAAACAGTCTTGCAGGTGGAAGAACGAAGAATTCAGAGAGCTAAGGAATATAATCCGGATGAAGCCGAAATAAAGCCTCCTATGCATGCTTTAATTAGCTCTGAGGCTCGGGAACAGGTTATAAGTAATGGCATTAAGCAGCCCTGTCTTGACTTGATCTCTTCCAGCAAGCTAACTGGGGTTGAAAATCCAATTAAGTCTACCAAGTCTACTCAGTCTACTGATAAAACTGAAAAAATCCTGGCATCAGAGAGTGCAGTAAGTGGTTTAGTTAACTTACCACCAGTTGATTCAGGGAATGACCAGTATTTTCAAGAGCAGCTACCTCACAGCAGAGCTCAGCCCTACTCCTTAGCATTGACCACAGACGACGCATTCCTAGTCAAAGTGGAAAGGCTAAAGAATCAAGAAGGGTCAAAATCTTACCAGACAGCACCAACTGTTGCTGAGCTTGAGCCCATCAAGTGTAAGCAAGACACAGCAAAGAGTGGGCATTCAGCTACTGGGGCTAAGAAACTACCACCAACAGCACTGTCAAAGAAACCCAGACTGGAAGAGAGAAGAAATGTGAGCAAGAATCCTAGCTATATTAAAAAGTCTGTGAAAAGTGAGGCAGACATGATTCATAGAGAAGAGATAAAAGAGCAAAGGAAACTACTTTCCGAAAAGGACAACAAAGGTAAGAGAAAACTGATTCTCATTTCTGGTCTTTCCAGTCCTTCTGACTACAGTATGAAACTCAAATTCATTTCCAATACACTACAAACAAACATATATCAATCTAAATCGTATCAGCCAGAGATATCCTACCTTCACTGACATTACTTTCCAGTGAACTTGATAACTAGTGCTATCCCTGTTCCACAACGTCCCTCTCTAGCATCCTTCTCCTAGCTGACAAATATATTTATGAACTTTTCATGCTTTCTGAAATAGTTACTTCTTCTTCATTCATCTGTTCAAGTCAGTTTTCAGGGATGTATAGCAAGTTGTTACCGCATAACTACACAGGCTATAGCAACTGCAATCCCAGTAGTAGCATGTTATTATGTTCCCACCGGGTTATATTCCCAGTTACTCTCCTACACTGTGGCTCCCAAATGAAGTTACCCTATCTTGGTTACCAAATTATTTTATTACTAGCAAAGTATTATTGTTACTAGTAGGGTACCACTGATAAATGGAATGCTTTGCAGTTGTATCTGGTGACTTATGGCTGGTTCTGCATTCCTTTTCATCACTGTCAGTCATAAATGACAGTGATGAAATTGGCAATATTAAACTGACATAAAAAAACATGTATTTGAAATGAGAATCAGGTTGCTGGTCACAGTCTCTAGGAAGTTACAAACTGATAAAACAAAGTGCAGACAAGAGTAGCTGTAGCGTACCATCTAAACAGGTGTATTTGTGGTTTCTGTGGATACGTTGCAAAGCCCAAGGCCTTATTTTCAGCTCTTTACATTACATTTTATATTTACATCATAAAGTAAGTTTACAGATGAGAGCAGGACTGAACCGTGACTTAAGGTAAGCTAGGTAACTGTGAAGCTCTTCATAGAGTCTAAGTACAGTGCAGTCTTGCTGGTGTTCTACTTCCTCCAGCTGCATTAAAAAGAACTTTTTTCGTTCAAAGATGATGCCAGAGATGTCTCCTTTGCAATCATGTTTGTCCATAAGAAATGACTGTAAAAGGGAATAAAGGGAGGCAAGCTGTATGAAGCGAGACAAAGAACTAGACGTGATGGAAATTTGTTGTGGGGAGGTCTGCTGTACAACTGCAGCCCCCACAGTGGTAACAGAGAACATAGAGCCAGGTCAGAAATTACCAGAGAACCAAGCATGTGGGAGAAGGAGACACATACTCTTTCCTCAAAGGAGAGCATGGAAACTGCGATTACCAAGAAATGCTTCATCTTTTCCATGTAGTTGAACCTATGCTTGAAAAAATATTTTAAACATTGTTCGGGTTTGCATCAGATAAGGCTAAATTATCTTTACCTGCTCCTGATCTGCTTCAGTTTAGACTGAAAATAAATGTATGTTTGTACGTTAGAGAGTTTGCAAGGACCTTTGCCCAGTATGATGGGAAGGTTGGTATGTTCAGTCTGCTATATATTCAGTGCTCTCTTTTTGTTTTTTTCAACTCAAGGAGGGATGACTCTGTGGTTTAGGCAGGGAACCTGGAGCCTTTCGTTCTATTTTCAGTTCTCTCACATGCTTTCTACAAGTCATTTCAGCCCTGATTCAGCAAGATACTTAGCAGTAAGGACTTAAGTGACTACAAGTTAAACATAGCAGTGAATTCCAGGTGCCTGATCCTTAGAGTTAGATCCAGCATTCCTTAGGCATTAGATGGGGAAAGTTTGGCCGCTGGAATGGGATCCCCGAGGGAGATGTGTCATGCCAGCTCATTCAGAGTGCAGCAGCTCAGAATTAACACATTAGGAAACATGCTACATTCCCTCTAGCAGGGACATCTCGCTCAGGAGTGCCGGGATGTGCCATTATCGCAAAACCTTTGCTCTAAGTATGTGTCCATTCCTTTTCTTCCCAAAAATAGGCAGGTCTTGCTTGCTTTTTTTTTCCTCAAGAATAAATGATGATTCTCCCCCTTTCTATAAGGGCTTTGTGATTAGAGCCCTTGCCCAAGCATGACACAGAGGTGCACTGTCCTCCTCTTGCTGACAGGCTCTAAGCCTGCCATCTCTTACCACCCTGGAGAGTGCCCAAGGCTCTAGGCTCCCACTTACATGAGATCGCTCTCCTGTCCTCCTGCTGATGCCATGCCCGCGTGCAAAAGACACTCATAAATTCTGTGTGCAGGAAAATAAGACTCAGCAAAGAAATGGATTAGCAGGGTCTTCCCCTGGCAGGGAGTCCTGGGTTCTGGTCATGGTTCTCAGGGTTACTCCAGTATCTTCTATAAAGTCATTCATTAAAATACAAAAATGATCTTTGGAGCAGGGACTGGAACCCAAGTTTCTTCTCTGTGTCTCCTAGACAGGACAGACTGCTGTTCTGGAACCTGAACAATTCTTGAATTTTCTCTGCGCAATGGTCAAGGTTTAGCAAAAGAGCTATGCTGTATGGCTGGGAAAGCAGAGACTTTCCTTAGAGGCAGGAAATGAATCCTGTGAGACTGAGGAGGCAAGCGAAGGTCACTACCATTACTAAGTGGCCTTGCCATTGCTAGAGCAAATATGTAACCATTAGGTGTGAGTCGCTCCCTGCAGGTACGTTTTAAAATGAAATGGGTGCCTGGTCCTGGCAGCGTGTGTTAGGTATGTTCCAAGAACATCCTGGAGATGGAGCATCTCCTGGGACTTAGAGTCCTTTCTTTCAAATTAGTTTAAAAAGCCTACTAATTGCATGTATTTGCTTATTATCAATTCTGATTGTGTAACTGTATGATATGCTGTACCTTTATGGTGTCTTTTTTACCGATAAAACCAGCTGATCCTTTAATCAGAGAGAACGTGTTCTGAGTAAGAAATGATTTTGTGTTGATGCTTTTTCAGAGTAGAACTTCCGTTGGGTCTCATTCCATCAGTTCAAGATGTCTTTGCATGGAGAACATTTCCATTGACCGTTTGGGGCACTGGCTCAGTTTTTTAAGACCTCCGTATTTTAAAGCCTCAGTTTCTGCATCAGGAGGAATAGTATTGTCAGATTCATTTTACTAACATTTGTAAATTGTTCTGGGATTCCTTTAAAATGCCAAAACACTATCATTATCTTCTAACCCTTAACTGTGGCTGTTTCATTTCAAGCTCCCAAGCTGCTGAAGAAGATACAAGCAGAGTTATTCCCTGACTGCTCTGGAAATATTAAGTTATGCTGTCAATTTGGTGACATTCATGGCGACTCCACCATTACATGGACTAAAGATTCCAAGTTGCTAGCTCGATTGCAGAGAAGGTGAGTGAATGTTTCTGAAGGTAATTCTGATAATTTCTGAATAGCTTTTGGGAAAATATTAAATTTGCCAGTGATATATTCTTGTATAACTCTGTTAACTCTGTTAACTAAATTAGCATGGTTGGTGCAAAAAGAATCAATTTGAACAGGGTAATTAAGAAGAATATCCTCACATAATGCTATAATATTGGGCATAGTTAGCATTCCATCACCCGTAATTTCTTTCAGCCCATTCATAACCAGCCTCATCCAGCTGTCAAGTACTGTAAAAGATCATCTGAAGTTTCAACCTCAGCGCCCAGGCCAAATGATATAAACACGTCTGGTTAATATATGGAAGGCTGTCTCTGTAGGAGAGGTGAATTGCTGAGACCTAATAAAAGCAACTAAGATGCAATGTAGAGCCTGACGTGATCACTCCTTTGAACTTTATATTCTATTTCAAATGGAGCTTTAAGCTGATTGGATGAAAGGGAATTATATTTAAAGAAAAATGAAATCACTCCTCAGTCTAGCCAATTAAACTGAGTGGCTAGAGGCAGTGCAATGAGATGGGTGGAAAATAAAAGCTTCTGAAGCTCTTTCCTTAGCATCTTCTCTAAACTCCAGTTGTATGAAACAAAAGTTATTTCCCTCCATAGCAGTAATAACATTCTTAGCATGTAGCTCTTAAAATCCAATTATAATGTTTCAAAAATACAAAAGTACTCTTATCCAAAGCAAAAAAAAGAAAAGATATTTCTATCAGAAGACACAATTCTGCTGGAATTAAAAAGTTTTGTAGGAAGTCATCTGATAAGGTGATATTTTCAGTGGAGGAAAGAAATGAATTGGTTAGAGTTCCTGTGTCATTCTGATTATTGTTTTGACTGCACTGATTTTGATGACAGTCTTATAATATCTGTCGTATTATAGAATATATACCTGCTAAGTAATTTTGCAGTGTTTTAACATCCAAAATAAAGCTTAGTTATCAATAAAATAAAGCTCAGTAATAACAAAGAAAATATATGATAACAAAATATTTGAATTTTCACTTTGTGGAATAAATATGATAAATTTCAAAATGTTGAAATTAAAATGAGATATTTAACAAAGTTTTAGTGTGAGAGATTCTTACTTACTTTTTTTACTTCAAAAACGTTCAATAGAGTTCAGTGGAATTGTTCTAAATCTCACTTCTGTCAAGATCAAACTCTAACTTAGTAGTTTGGTGTGTACCCAAGCACTGTTTTTTCCTTTGGGAACGTACTAATATGTCAGTCTACAGAAGTGTATAGTCTGTACCGTGTGATGTGGCACATCTTAACTTGTGCTTTCGACAGGAGGCAATTACAGGAAATTATGCAACAAACCTTTGAATTGTTATGACTCATTAACACACAAAATCAACCATATTAAAACAGCATTGAAAAATACATATTGGTAGTAATATTAGTATTTGCTAGGTAATTACATTTAAAAACTGATGTTGAGTAAAATTAATTGTCCAGCATGCCAGACAGTCATGAAACATCATGTTGGCCTAATACCAACAAAAATGTGTGCACCTTCTCTAATTCCCTTCACAAAAACTTTAAAACGCAATAGCCAGGTCTTCATCGTCCCTGCATGGATTATACGGTTTGCTGGTAAATGCAGAGACACCCAGCGTCATGTATGTAGAGACCTTCATGGACTAAGAGGACTTTTCACTTAAGCATAGTACTGTTTCAGTGTGTTTTTATTCCGGGGCTGGCTTGAGTCTACAAGTAGTGTAACTGCGTTCCATGTGTCATTGCAGCCCTGCTGATAATGTCTAGCAACCATCCGTTCCTGAAGTTGCATACACAGCCAGCAGCAAATGCCTAGCTTGAAAAAAGCAAAGGAGCAGGGGAAAACTGAGTGAGAAGTTGCAAGGATACAATCAGGAGGGGCAGAGGGGAAAAGAGAAAGCAAAGCAACGGAACAGAGGTGATCAGAAAAATTGAGGAAGATCTGTAAACACAAGGAAGAGAGACTGAGAATTTCTGGTATTGGCTCCAGCTGAGAACAAGGAAACCAAAAGCTATTATTATATTGGTCCCACAATATAACAGTGTTCAACACGTTCTTAACTCAGATTAAATTAAATCAGCAAGTTCTTACACACATTTCCGCACAAGATGGATTGAAGTGTATACCTAAACCGAAGCATATATTTAGCTGAAGGGAAGTCTTTCTGACTTGCACAGAGCCGAGATCAGGCCTCAATATTAGTCAGCACAATGCCTATTGCTTTCAGTCATTTGAAACTGTGCTTCCTACTACTATGGGGTGTTCCCAAATGTTCTCATGCAGAAAACAGAATAAATTTCTGCAGGAAAATATCCATTATATCTTCTTAGAATGCACTCGGAATCGAGGGAGAGCATACAACATTTTTATCTGTTTGTACTTTACATATTTGCCTGTGATTTTGATATGAATATTAGAATGCCTTTTGGTGTGATTTAATAATTTTTATGTGTATTTGATTGATACATTTTTCTCTTAGGATACAGCAGGAACATCTGTTGTGCTACACTTAATAGGCTGAATGCTTCTTACTGAGATGAAATAAAATACCTTTTCCACTCGCATCACATTTGAATCAGTCTTTACAGTGATGGGCAGAAACTCCAGGGACAGAGGGAGAGATGCATGGAATAATCAGGAAAGATGTTTTAAAAGCGTTAACGTGAAAAATTGGCATCTTCTATTCCAGTGCCCAGGATGACTCTCCCATCTCTTTGGCAATAGCTAAAGCTAGTAACAAAGACCAGGGAATGTATTATTGCTGCTTGAAGAATATTTATGGAAAGGTGACTGCTGAGTTTAATCTGACTTCTGAAGGTAAATCCCAGTTTATAATTTTAATAGATAGTAATAACAATGGCAGTTTCCATTCGTATTTTTTTGACTAGAAGGTCTCTTTGTTTTTGTTTCCTTGTAGTCTTGGAACATCTCTCAGGTTTTCAGAATCTTGAAGGTGAGTACACGTTTGCTTAAATGTAGCCTTAAATCTTTGTTCCTTCTGATTTCCGGATGGTACAAAGGATGGAAAATAAGACGAAAATAATTAGCAGTATTTTCACCTGAGATGTGCAGCCTTCTGAACTTTGAGCCTTGGTTTCCTGATAGAAACTATTTTCAAAACTTTTTTTTTTTTTTTTTTTACCACCCAGTGAAATTGGGTGTACAGTTGTTCACTGTTATCAAGGAGTTACTAAGCAGCTGCGTTTCCTTGGTGAATTTGACCCAAGGTGTTTTATTTCTATTGCAAAAATGGATGGATAAGTTTGCTGTATCAAAGACAGTCCTAATGATGGTCCATTAATTCTGAGGAGCATTTCAGACATGGAAGCCTGAACCCTCTAAATAAGAAAAGAGAATAGACCCACATAGACAGTTACAGTGAGCTCTGGTAAATCAGCAAATGACTACACTGTAGCAGTGTAATTAGTTTCACATTGGGTCACCTAACTTGCAGGGAATCATAACTCTTGTCTTTTTCTCCTGTCAGTTCAAAGGTTCATGGAATAATTCAGGTTGGAAGGGACCTCGGGGGGTCATCTCCTGCTCAAAGCAGGGTCAGTTATCGGGTCACCCCAGCTTGCTCAGGGCTTTATCCCATCAGCTGTTGAAAACTTCCAAGGATGGAGACTGCATAATATCTCTGGGCAACCTGTTCCACAGCTTGACTGTCCTTGTGAAAAAGTTTCTCCTTATATCCAGTCTGAACCTCTATTTTGTCAGCTTATGCCTATTGTTTCTCATCCTCCTGGCATGCACCACTGTGTAGAGCCTCCGTCCTCTTGATGACCTACTTGTAGATATGCCAGGAACCCCAAAAGCCTTCCCTTCTCCAGGCTAAACAAGCCCCAGTCCCTCACCATCTCCTCACAGGGCAAGTGCTCCAGTCCCCTGGCCATTTTTGTGGCCCCCCATGAGCTCACTTCAGCTGATTGATGTCTTTCCTATATTGGGGGACCCAAGGCTGCATGCAGTACTCTACATGCAGCCTAATGAAGGCTGAGTAGAAGATAATCACTTCCCTTGCTCTACTAGCTGTGCTTCTGTTGACACAGCCTGGGATGCTTTTGGCCTTCTTTGCTGTCAAGGTGTACTGCTGGCTCATGTTTGTCTTGTGTCTACCAAGGCCTCCACAGCCCTTTCAGCAGAGTTACTCCCCAGCCAGGCTGCATCATTGCAAGGGGCTCTTCCTTCCCAGGTGCAGCACTTTGCATTTGTCCCTGTTGAATTTCATAAGGTTCTTGTCAGCCCATTCCTCCAGCCTGTCCAGGTCCCTCTGGGAGGCAGCCCAGCACTTGAGCACGTTGACTGGTCCCCAGTTTGGTGTAATCTTCAAATTTGGTGAGCAAGCACTCTGTTGCCTCTTCTGGGTCGTTGATGAAGATGTTAAAGAGGAAAGGTCCAAGATTTGACCCCTATGATACGTGGCATTCAGGTGGAGCATGTCCTTATCTGGTCCCATGGACTTGCATGGGTCAAGTTCTCCTAAGTAATCCCTGATTCGTTCCTCATCCTCTGCTGGTAGTTTCTGCCTTCCTTAAACCGTGTCACGAAGCAGAGAGGCCTGAGAGACCTTGTTAGTAAAGACTGAGGCAAGAAGAGCACGGAGTACCTCAGCCTTGTCTGTGTCTGTAAAACACCCATCCCATTCAGCAACACACCCACGTTTTTCTTGTTTGGCCTTCCTTCTGCTACTGATAGAGCAGTAGAAGCTCTTTTTGTTGCCCTTGATGTTCTTTGGATGTCTCAAATCCATTTGCTGATGGGTGGGACACTGGTTGCTCTAGGGCTAGGAAAACATTTTTATGACACATTTTTTCAAAGATAATCCCGTCTGTCTTAAATGAAATCTGTGCATTCACAATGCTGGCACTGCCCTCAAAACACCTTGAGTTTATTACACTGTTTTTCACACAGCCAGATGCAACAGGAGAACATGTTTTAGCAGTTGCTCTATTTTCAGGCAGCTCTGAAAACAAGAGCCTTTTTCTCTGTCTACGTGAGGCGCATTTACACTTTAAACAAAAGATATGCTTCAGAGGAGAGAAGCAATTTAGGAAACATTGAGTTTGTTTCAGATCTGGGTTTGGATTTTTAATTTCTTTAAATCATAGAGATACTCACCTCTGGACTACAGCTGTAGTATCTCATCACTTTTTGTTTACTGGCAGAAGCCCAGTGACGAACATACCTCAAAGATTTGACTGGCCTACAAACTATAAGAGACATTTTGACAATTACCCCAATGAAAACTGTGGGACCCCCTCAAAGCTGTTGAATCAGCGCGGTATTTTTGCTAGATAACTTTCCCTTTTTGCGCTGAACTTTGCTGTGCCATCAAAGACGAAATTCCCTTTTAATTCATGGGACTTTTTGTAGATGAAATACCTTCCTGTAGGATAGAATAGTTTGTGCAGAGGGGTAGGGTGCGTGCTACCACAGCCTATTGATTGGAACTTGGCTGTCTGTGTAACTTTCCATTAACTTGATGCATTGGCACTTCCCATATAGTAAACAGTGAAATAGCATTGCATCACACAGACACAGACACACGCACACACACGCACACACACACCCCTCCATAAAGCTCTTTTGGCAGACAAACTTGCCAACACATGGTCTTTGCAAGTCATCTGCTATGTAACTTTACTCCAAAAGAAAGGCAGACATTAAGATTTGGAATACTTTCCCCATGTGTTATCTTGTCTTTAATCACACTCGGCATATGTCTTGCTGTGCTGCAGCTAAAGATAGTACGTTGCAAATGGGTTTATCATTTTTGAATGCACTATACTAGTCAAGTGCTTCATTCAGCCCATTGATTTTTCTTTCTTTTTCTTCAAGAATAAAATTAAACATTTAGTTCATCTGGAAAATAAAGACAAGACTTTTCATTTAGCAGCACTGTGTAGCTTTTGATCAACAGAGAATTGTAGGTGGAGGTAAAGAGCGTTCCGGTTCTAACTTTGTATTTGCACTCTTTGCTCTGTGCTTTGGAGAGAGGCAGTAGTTTACATAGTCTAAACCAGAGATTACTACAAAGGGGAAGTGGAAAGATTTCATTGCTGTGCAATGTACACCTTTTCCATTGGGAAAAGATAAGCAGGAGCAGAATAATTCAAATTATTATTGAATTCAAAAATTCCTTGAAGTGTTATGATTGGAGAGACTTGAAGTGCAGTTAGGATGTTTTAGTTCATTTTTCTCTCAGTGCTCAAGTTTAACCACTTTTTTCCCCTTTATTTTTGGTCTGTTTGTACTTCGATAGTAATTTAAAGCTGTGAAATCCACAATCTTGCTTTATTTCAGCTGTGACAACATTAGGCACACATTCTTATGCTAGTGGTACATTCAAAATCCACACATGGGGATTAGAAAAAGATTACTGTACAAAATTATCCAGAATTTAAAGTTCACTCAAATTGATGCAGTTGCTCTATGAATGAATTTAGCTTGGTAATTTATAGAAATGTGGTTCTGATTCAAAACCACATACAAAATAAAAATCTTCCTCTTTTCATCTGCCTTTTCCAATGAATCTGTCCTTAGGCTAGTGCTTGCCAGATTGAAAAAAGATAACACTTTAACATGCAAGTCTGCAGCGCTGGAGCTGGTCTAATGAATGCAGTTTGTACTGAGAGGCATGTTTTCATTACGGTAGCATTAGGTAAGGACTGAGACCTCAGCTGAGTGCCTTGAAGACACATGTTGGCAGAATCCCTCCCTGAAACGGTTCCAAGCTGAAAGCTAAGACAAGCTCTGGCTGTATGGGCAGCATCCTTCTTTCTTCAGGCTTTTCTGAAAAACCAGGCTAACTTCAGAGAAGCTCTGTGAAATCGCCCTGTGCAAAGTGGTCACAGAGCTATATTTTACTTCTAGATTCATATCTATGCACACTGCTGCACATTAGCTTTATTACTGTCTCTGTCTTCCCAAAAATGCAGAGAGCTGGAAGGAGCTCTGTATTCCCTCAGTTCTTCTTTAGTTCTCAGTCAACTTGACTTGCTTCACATTCATCTGAAGCTCCAGTTTACAACTTTATTAATAGGTTTTAGAACAGCTCTTGTGACGTTTTCCTCCATTTTTTCTGATACCTTCTGTATTCTTGCCTTATGAACGTGGCCTGCCCCCTTTCTCCATGCTGACTTCAGACAATACAGACAGCAAGCTACACTGGGAGGGGCTGAACCCCAGCACTATATGAACACAAGTGAAGCCATGTATTCCATTTCCTGAAAGCCTGTTCATTAATCCTCAGTGGAGAGATCCATTTGTCCTCCCACGTCCACCCCTTTCCCTGCTGACTGCAGAAGGGTGGCGTGGAACATAGTGGCATTGTGTTTTAGGTCTGGAAGAAATTGAATTCATGCAGCTCATGTTCAGAGAAGATTTCATCAGTGATAGCTATTTTGGTGGGAACCTGCATGGAACAATCGCTACGGAAGAGCTTCACTTTGGTGAAGGCATGCACCGGAAAGCATTCCGCAGTAAGGTGATGCAAGGCCTGGTGCCGGTGTTCAGTCCTGGCCACCCTTGCGTTCTCAAAGTGCACAGTGCTATCATGTACGGGACCAAGAGCAAGGATGATCTAGTTCAAAAAAACTACAGACTGGCACTGCAGGTAAGGTTCCCCCGTCCTCTGCGAGCAAGGGTGTGGGGAAGAGCCATCTTTCAAATGTTCAAACAGCCAATTCATTACATGTTTTGAGTAATATTCCATAGGTATATCTGTTTGTAATATAGGAATGCTATGTCCAAAATACAGCAAGAGAGTATGCGAAGATATATGCAGCAGAAGCTGAACCTTTGGAAGGCTTCGGGGAAGTACCAGAGTGAGTATACACACAGACCCCCCCCCCCCATCTATCTATCTATCTATCTGTCTATCTATCTATCTATTATCCTTGGCTACACCTGCCCCCTGACTGCTCGGAGTGATCTCTAGAGAAGAAAGAGGGATCCTAAGAATATAGATACAACTGGAATCATAACCTAAATAGTAGTGGGTATCAAGATGGCAAGAACAATTCCATTCCTATTAGAAAAAGAGAAAAAGGAGTAAAGAGTAAGTAGTAGATATGTAGGAGCAAAAGTCCTGATGTTGATGTACGTTGAGAGTAAATTATTCATATTAATAAAGTGATACCAGTAGGTGATACTGCTAGTATTACCTAATACAGTAGGTGATGTCAGGCCTTCCAACTTTCCATTCAAAATAAAATCTTGAGACAAGTCATGATCATTCTGAAGCTGGTATGAAGTCTCTTCTTAGACCTAAGTTTTTTAAGTAGAGAGAGGCTTAAGCCAGAAAGCTTGGCTCTGGTTCTGGATTTTCCAAAAGAGTGTTTTATTTCATATCGGAAGTTTTCCATTTCTCGCATATGGGTGCATCAGGCAAATAGCTGAATATGGTCTGATCTCTGCCCCTGAGGCTGGGAAACCTTGAGGGTTTGGTAATAGATCTTTTTCAAAGGATTTGCTGTTCCAGTGTCAGGCTACCACGTAGAGTTGGATTTGCAAAGGATGACTGAAATGCTGCCTGCCTTGCTTCAAGGATAAGACCTACATGCTTGACAGCAGACTAAATCTCCATCTCCTTCTAGATGACACAAGATCTTCCCAGCTGCACTGAATCACTGAAAAGAGGTTAGAAGTAACTGTGTTCTCAGCAGCCTCCATAAAAAATTCTAGTCAGTTGTCCTGGGGATCCTATCCACAGATGTTTAAATGAAACATTTCAATGCCTTGACTCAAGCTGCAAAAAGCTAAGCTTTTGCTAATCAAATATAGCATGTGATTTTGATATCTGCCCCATATCTTTCCCTCTTCACTAATGAGGAGAATTTATATCCATGCCATTCACAGTGGCAGCCATTTCTCTCAGCACCAGAAGGGAAGAGGAAGGCTGGAGCGAGTCCATTTGGGTATTTTGTATGCAGGGTGCGTGCTCAGCAAGGCTGCTTTATTTTCTTTGCAGCTCTTAGATAAAATTGGCAGTTTGGTGACATGGGGTTCACGAGAGGAAAAAAGGCAGTAGGAATAAAAGAGTTCTCATGTAAGGACTCTAATAAGTACTACATTCTCAGAACCGCATTTCATAGGGTTTTTCAGTGGGAGTTTTTGTAATTATGCAGTAAAAGGTGGGCAAAGACCTTGTGGCTGTGCTGCTTGTATACTGACGCTTATAAAGGTTTTCCAAATAAGTAATCTCAGCAGCCCTTAAAATTCAACCTCTGAAATGTTTCCTTAAAGAAGCCTTTTCAGGACTAGAACTAGTGGCAGGGATGGTGGTGAATTCTTTTAGGTAAATGTTTGTGGAAGTCAGACTTCCTTCTGGAAATAACGTTGCTTGTGGCCAAATTTCTATTTGAGAGGTTTTTCTACATACAGGTTATAACCTCTAATTTTGATGGGAGAGAGAGAGAGCACGCACGTTGCAAAAGCTAGAAGTCTGGTGCCAAGAGCAGGCGCATGGAGGCTTCAGATCTGGTTGCATTATTCTAAACAACTGCCTGGAAGACAGCAGCTAGGGGAGAAGAGATAGCGTGCATATGCATGTTTTGGTTTGCTTTTTAATTTCAAAATTTCAAAATTTCGAGGCTGGATTCCTTTCTTCTACCCAGCCCTTGTCAGAGCAAATTTGTATTTAAAGGAAGGTATATTCCTTGCAACATTTTATAAGGGAAATAGAGAGGCTTTCCTGAGCAAGAGGAGGGTCCTCCTCATTCTCAAGTGCTAATTTTAAGGCTGCAGCCCTAGGCTATCTGCTCATTTTTGTGAGCAGACTTATTATAAGAGAAAGGTGAGAAAAGGAAAGAGAAAGCACTGCCCTATAATAGTCACTGTCATGGCAGCTAGACATTTATAAAGGGGTGGAAGGGAGACGGAGACAGTCTATTACTGTTATACTTCCACCATTGTACTTCCACAACGGAGCACTACTAACACTTTTATTAACCAGTTGCCCATTTTTTTTCCTTTCAGTGTTCATAAATGTGAAACTATACAAAGCTTTGTCTGCTAATAAAAATTGATAACTTTAACGATACTGGTAGAGCTAAGGTGATATCATCCCTTGAGCGAGCAGGTTAGTTTAGTAGTAGACAAGTGCCTAGCCTTGCGCTGATTGTTACTTAGAAGAGACTGTCTCTACTGGTATAAAGGCCATTTGTACCAGTTTAACTGCTTCTCTGGGACAATAATGGTAAAATATCACAAACACAAACAGATTAATGATGACAATAAAGCTTGGCTGTGGACTAGGACTAGAAGACTTAGAAGGAAGTGTTCTGGTTATATGTGGTTCCCTGCTGCATGACTAAATCTTCTAGACTTCCTTTAAACGCATGTGTAGCACTTCTGTTCATTCATGACTCTGCTATATCCAGAATCCAGCTTCTCTGGTGTAAATGGCAGTAACTGTACCACCCCTTTGGCAGTGTTGCTGTAAGAGATAAGGCTGTTTGCAAGAAAAGAAGTAACTAGAAACCTGTTTCATATGAAACTGGTGACAGTCATTCCTCCGATTTGTTCTGAGGCAGTGCCAGGAGCTCTTATGAGCTAGTTGATAAAATATGGTGATGTTCTGTGACAAACTGCAGCTGACAGAAAGGCTTTCCAAATGACATTATCTCAGAGCACTATTTAATTCCACTCTCATGTACGCTGATGTCCCTTTTCTGCTTTCATTATTATGTCTAAGGTTTTAATTTGGGAGATTTATACTGTACTAGCAGTGCTGCCTTGTGAGAATGCTGAGTTATTCCAGTGTAAGTGTGAACAGGAGGAGACTGTTTGCAAGGTAGCACACTGCTTTCCGGTCAGCAAGAGTTCTCTTAACCACAAAGTTCATGTTACCAGTGGGACAAGTACTTCCTTCCAGACTATTGTCATTCTCACTTCACATTCAGTCTTTCTCTCTGGGAAGACCTTGAAACTCTAAGCAAAACTCACTTTTTTTTTTTATTTTGGGTATGAGTTTTTGGCATGGTGCATCGTTAGCCATAAATGGACCTAGCCTAGATTTCTAGAAAACTTAGCAAGTCTCTCTGGCTAAACTAGATCAATTTCTAAGTGAATAAAATTAGGTAAATTTTGTCCAGTTTGCAATTTCCTGAAAATTTCATTCAGAATTAGTTGAAGTTTTCTGACCTGGATCCAAGCTTTGACAGAGCCCAAGACTCTTCCAGTTCCAGTTCCCAAGACTCTTGCAAGATTCCAGTTCTTCCCTAGAGCAAATTTGTCCTGAGAATCCTATGATCTCTCCAGAGACATTCTTGTTTCCTCTTACCGCTGGGCAAAGTAGTTGCTTTGTATTTTCATTATAAAAGTGTTTGCTAATTTTGGATGTGTCCGGTTTGAGAAGTCTCTTCTGAGAAATCCTCCATTTACACTGGTCTTGGGCAAGGCTTTTTCTGCAGTGGATAGAATTTGCAAGTGCCTAGCACCTCTGAAAGACTGAGTCATATGTGAGTCCAACTGAACAGTTAATACCATGATACTCCAAAATGAGCAAGCAACTTCTATTGTGCAGAGTTTAGGTTTTGGGACATATTAGGACAACGTTAGAAATTACACTCTGAAAAATGTAAGTTTAGATCTGGCTAAATAATACAGAGAAATAAAACATAAAACAAAATGTGATTATGTTCTAGAGCTACCTGAAGATCAGAATCCTACTCAGATGTCTCCCAGCTTGGTTTAGACTTGGTAACTGTTTATTCAGTCTCTGAGATCACTGGCCAAACTGTCTCTTTCTTACTTTTTATTGACAGAGCTCAGTGAGGTTTAGGAGTTTTTATCCCTTGATTTCAGGATCATTCCTATTTTTCTTGTTCATCGCCCTGCAAATAACATCCCCTATGCCACAGTGGAGGAGGAGCTTGTTGGGGAGTTTGTGAAATACTCTGTCAAGGATGGCAAGGAAGTCAACTTCCTGAGAAGAGACTCAGAGGCTGGCCAAAAGTGTTGCACCTTCCAGCACTGGGTGTATGAGAAGACCAACGGGAGCTTGCTCGTCACTGACCTGCAAGGTGAGCTGTCTGAATGGGGGCAACAAAACGGCTCTGCCGTGATACAGGCTGGTAGCCACTCATAGTCCCAGTAACTGCAGATTTTCCAGAGGCTTGTTCCGTAGAAATGTTATTCTTGGCTTTCAGTGGCCTGCTGGCCATGCTGAATGTTTACCTTCCATAACCCTGTATTTGGAAAAGTCTTTCCCAGATGGAGACCAATACCCTGGCCCACAACTGGTAAAGCAGGTAGGGCATCTCTGTGTGTAGGTGTGGACGTAAGGAGCTGCATGCAGAGGCAGTATCACTGTGTTCGTGTGGCTCACCTTGTACCCAAACTGATAAATCTGCCTTTTGCTACACTAAGTGTACTACTTATGGCTTGAGACTGTTAGCTTGGGAACCCTGAGTCATGTTTCATGAAGCATTGTATACATGCCGTTGCTGTACCTCTTGAGAAAAGCTTTCCGTTACTTTTAAATCCCTTGTGACTGATTCCGCATCTAGATTCTTGACCTGTTTGCCCCTCACCCTGGAGGGTCAAGGAGTTGTTTTGTGTCTAATCTTTACCCTGGTATGGCCTTGGATGATCTTACCAGGAACTGAGGAGTCTTCCAAGCGCACCAGAGAGCAGTCCCCAGCAAATTGTTACTGTTACATTACAACCTGATCCGGGAACAGCATATTCTATGCAATTTGAACAGGTCACTTATTTAGACGTCTAAGTGTAAACTCAGATGCCTTATCTACAAGCACCAAAATAAGCTTGAGCATTTGGGGCATGAAAATCCACTGGCCCCACCCTCTCAGTTTGTGAATGCACTGAGTACGTTCTCTAGCAACACAAGAGATACAATTGACCCTTACTGGACATTACCAACGGTTCTAGGAGTCACACAGTGAAATACTACCAAGTCTATTGTATTCTTAATATTTCTAAATAGGATTCAAATCGTGTATATCAGCCAGGTGTTTATCCACTGCATGAAGGTGAATTTTACCTACAGTAAGTTAATCTACAGATTTAGGACCGCATTCGACTCTCAGGTTGAGACCCTGCATTTTTTACAGGTCAGTTCTTCAGCTCTACTTTGTTTCTGGTAAGCCTAAGCAGTTTCTTTTTAGCAACTTTAATGATTTTAGCTTTTTTTTTTTTTTTTTGATCACTTGCTAGCCTCAGGAGCTTCACCTTTCCCTCCACCTTCACATTTCCTTCCACCATCTTGTGGGCAAAAGGAGCTGGCACATTTCAGCTCTGTAATTCCTGTGGCCAAAGGAAGAACTGGTTACAGAAAAGGGCCACATCTGAGATATGTTTAGTCCCCTCTATTGCAGACGAGGATTAACCAGCAGATTAAGAGTGCTGTAACTTCCCACAGTCAGTATCGTCATAGTTGGTGCCTCATGGTGGGGAAACGGCTGTGCCACTCTGTGATTCGCTCTCCACCGTCACTGCGACTGCTTTAGCCATTAAATAACAAGAGGTTGGAAGCAGCATTGAAGTCTGAACCTGTTATGCGAACAAGAAAGTCTCATAACTGGAATTTCCAGTGAGCATGTTTGTGTAATGGCTGCCACAGCAAGGGTACAGGGCTGGGAGTGGGCTCCGAGGCAACGCAGCAACGCAACTGCGTAACAGTAACATGACATCTTGTGATTAGTGTCATGGAAGCCATCCCTCAAGATTAGAAACAAACTGCTATACACAACTTTTTAGAGTTCTTAAAATTGTAGTTTAAGCTATTACAGTGCTAGAGGAGCCATAGACAAGTTACTGAATAGGGACATAAGTTTTATTTTCATTGAAATCCTCTTCAGTTTCATTTAAGCAGACCTCTGTGCTTAAAGTGGCTTTGGCACTTGCCAAAGTGCCTTTGGCAAAGTGAGTGGAGAAACAATACAAATATAGATTTTTAAACAATTCAAATAATGTATGCTCTTCTTATAGCATCTCATGCAGCTCAGAATAAAAGATAGGAGAGAGAGGTAGGATATTTTCTTTTCCATTTCTTATAAGTGCACTGTGTTTATCTGGTATGCATGTTACCTCTAGGGAATAGAAAGAAATTAATTAATTGCCTACTGTGGCAGCCGAGGCAAGCATTTATTGGCCCATACGATAGTATAATGCTTATATGAAAGCGCAGAGGAAGGAAATTCTTACCTAGCTTATGTTCTTAAAAGAAAGCAGTTTGAAAAGTGAAAAAAACAGATTTTACACTCTCAGCAGGAGAACTGGTCTTCCACGGATGTCCCCTTAGTAAATGAGCGAAGTCTGTCTGATTGTTGTCTCACCTCCCAGAGGTGAACGAAATGCCTTGTGAATTAGGCTTCAGTTATGAACAGCATCCTGCTCCTTTACTTTTTCTTATATTTAAACACTTACCAACAATCTCTCAACAGTGGAATGCTCCACACTTAGGGTCCTGGCTGTGTTTGTAGACACATATTTCTTCAAAAAAAAAGAAGAATGAGAAAGAAATGCCCCCCCCCCTCCCAATTTACTAAATGCTGCCCGTATGCTCCTGTGGGTGCAGCTCTTTCTCACTGCAGAAATGCTGAGCCTGTATGCAACATGGTGTGCATGTATGTACTTGAAATAGAGAAAGGCAGAGCCTGCTTTAAGATCTCTAAGGAAAGACGGACTCTTAGAAAATAACCTGTACCCTTTAACATGAGAAGCCAGGAAAATTAGCAACAAACCATCTAAACAAGACCCCTGAAATAATTAAAAGGGAGAAGAATTGGCAAAATGCTCGCCTGAGGGAAACACAGCAGCAGATTTGGTATCTGAGCCTCTGTGATGATTGCTGCCACAAAGGACAATATAGCTCTGCTGTTGAGGAGAAACATGCTTCCTCTCTGATCGCCTTATCATTTGAGTGTCTAGGCTGCATTTTTCAGGCATCCTGGTTGAGATTTATTAGGGTATTGTCAAAGGAAAAACGGTATTGAGACCATAATTTTTCTGTACAGAAAAGCCACACAGTACAGGTCTGGATTTTGCCTATAAAACAAATGACTGAAGGGACAAGTTGCAGAAAATAAGTTTTTGGAAACAATGAATGAAGAAGGCTTTTGAATCTCTCCCCCCAAAAAGTAAATCCAAAGTTGATTAACCAAGCTGATTAGCAAAGCAAACTCTCTCACTGGTATATATTGTGGCCCAAGTTTGCAAAGCAGACACAACCACAAAACCCGTAAGTAATCATACACATCTCATGGCAGGTGCATATGCATAGATTTTGGATGTTCCCTTAAAATGCAGTCATCGGCATGTATCCCCCCAGTGACTGTCCAGCACAGGAGACAAATTATGCTCTATTTTTAGTGTAATGAGACTGACTTCTAGAAATTCTTCGTGATACAGAGCACAAAGGTCCTACTTTTAATTGAGATACGTTAAAACGTCCTGACAAAATGGTGGCAATTAACATGAAAAACATGAATCAATAGATAATATTTGAATACCTCTATCTATGGCTCTCTTAAATCTGAAGATATTCCTAGAAATGCTAGTGTAATGCAAGCTCTCTATTTCCTTGATGTCTTGTAGGTGTAGGAATGAAGTTAACTGACGTTGGCATAGCAACATTGGCCAAAGGGTGAGTGAAAAATTGTTTCTCAACGGCATGGTTTTGCTTTACGCGTCAAACTCTTTGCTGTGTAAGTATGCTGGGGGAGGGTGCATTGGAAATCTGTTCTTGGTTTAACTGTGGAAGAAAGCAGTCCTCATCTGACTTCTTTTAACTTCTTTTTGTTCATATTTATGGGAACCCTCCTTCAAGGGAAACACATTCATTTAGTTCTAGAAGAAAGGGGATATGCTATAGATTTTGCTTTACTTTTCCTTTTTGCCTCCTTTAAAATAGGTTTATTCAAAGGGCATCTCAAGAGTGAAATCAAGGTCCCAGGTGACTTCCAAACAAGCCCCTTTACTTGTTGGTATATCAGCTAGAGGAAGGTAGGGCTGAAAAAGCAATGCCAGCGCTGGCTCCAGCTTGGCCTACTAGGGAAGACCTGTTGTTTGCGCTGTTGAGAGCTTCTGACCACAGAGGGAACGTCTCTGAATCCAGCATGCTCTAACAGATGTATACAGATACAGGCCTTTAGTGTTCTAACTTTCTTCCACTTACCTAAGTTTCTATGCATTAAAGCTTCTGGATACACCACAAACAGAGCCATTGCTAGAAATAGGCAATGTAGGCAGTCATTCAAAGTATCTAGTTGCTGGGGGCGGGCAGCAAAACAGCCATGGTCCTGATGTCCACCTCATCTGTACCACTGCCTAAAAAGCCAGGCCAGCTACTCTACTGAGAGAAGAGTCTGGATGTAGCACTGTCACCACTGCCCATCCCATCCCCTCTGTTGCAACACAAACAGCAAGTCCATCCTCTCTGGTCTGCCCCCCGGGTTTGCCTGTTCCCTATATTTCCTTCTTTCTGTGGCAAACGTTGATCTCCCCTTGGAATGGCAATATCAGTTTTGTCGGTGCTGCTGAGATGCTGCATAAACAACAATTAAAATGAACAGACTTTCTCTCTTCCTAGTGTAAGTAAGTTCTACTGTCAGGGAGTAGAATCACTGCGTGAAATCTTGGCTCCGTTCAAATCAGTGGAAGATTTGCTGGGACCAGGATTTTTTGCACACAGAATCTGAATTAATCATGGTGAATTCTTGTGGCAGGTCTGGTATTACCCTATGCAGCTACAGAAGAATATTTTAAGTGTTTAGAGGCCTACTTTCTGTGCTTCGTGGGTTATGCCATGAAGCAGAGAAGCAGTCGGGCTGGCTCTGTCCCATTGCCTGATGATCTAATATATGAGACTCTGGCTGCTTCTAGGCACTTAACAGAACCCTGAAAATATGCATGATGAGCAATGTATGCAAAGCATTAGTGGAAATAAATCTATTTCATAGACAGTCTGGTATTATCTTGTGAATGCCCCCAGGTTTTTTTGGAGAAAAATGAGTAATGCTATTTCATCTTTACAAAAGAATACAAAAAAAATTACTCTCATTGATAGTCTTATTCAGACAGAGATCTAACGCTTATTTGAAACATGCTAAATTGTAAAACATGCTAAACTGTATTGTTAGAGAGTATCATGCTGCAGTGAGTCCCAGTGATTTAATGTGTCATGTAGTGATATACTTCCTTTTACCAATTGTATGTCATCGCAGAACATTCAGTAATTCAACCCTTCAATCGTAACAGCTACATTTTTTTTAACCAGAAAAAAGTACTTCTTCCAGTATGATTTTCCTTAAGCACGTTTTTTTTCCCCTGTGACTATATATTATTCTGCCCCTACATGCACACAAGCTGTGTTGTTGGTATTGTCACCTATTCTATTTCATGGCATCCTACACAGCTTTCCAGGTAGATTCCTGCAACAAGAGCTTTAAATTCATATTCTTTCATGAAAAACTGATAGAAAAAAGACAGATCTGATCACATGGATTCAGTCTTTGTGTACTGAATGTAAGTTTTTCTCTGTCCCAGTGGTACAGGGGAAAAAAATCCCTCACAACACCTTTTAAATTATTAAACATTTGATGCCAGAATATTCTGGGAAAATCCTTAACATTTTCAGGCTGGCACCCTTTCAAAACTTACATTTACTTTTTAGCTGTGGATCCAAAATGAAATTAGTTGAATTATTCCTGCATCATCCTATTAGAAAACAAAGAAGTTATAAAAATTTTATTTAGGCAACACTGTTCTCTGGAATTAGGAGATTTATAGAAAGGCTTTAATGGATGTTGTTATCTAGCTTACTGTAGGAAATTGCTCCTATAAAAACACATCTTGGACTAAGGAAGAGGAAGGTGAAGTGAGAAAATGAATATACAATGCAAGCTGCAGTAAAGATCACCTCAGTCAGACACTGCCTTCATGAATAACCTCTTAAAAATGTTGAGCATCATTCTGTTTGACATTTCGCTAATGATATTGCTACAAGGCAAGAGATTTTTTCTAGCCTGATATTTTCCTTTCATTTCTCATTTCCCAGAAAGGATACCTCTGCATTAATATCTTCAGTTTGATTTTTAATTCAGCAAGCCTGGATGGGGAAAGCAAAACAAGTACACAGAATTCATCCATAGTATGGGCTATTGCTACCTTTGGTAATATGCAACCATACCAATGAGAGACTGTAGATCTTACATGTTGGGGAGAACACATATAGTCATACTTGGCTAAAAATTATAGTGTGAGCCTTTTTTTTTTTTACTGTATTGTTAGAGAAAATATAAAGACGATTTTTGAGTGTAATTGCCTGTACAAATTCTAATACTTACCTCGACCCCGCCCCCTTGCAGAGACAATGACCTCACTGGGCACGGATATGTCCTCTCTCTCAAGTTATTCTAAGCCTGTAGAAATATATAAAGGCAAAAAAAAAAATCCTTGGGAAAAGCTTCTATGATCCTTGGTGAATGGAAAAACATTCATATTGTTTCTGATCAAATTGGAAATTAAATGAAACGCTAACTTCACTCTGGCATTAAACTTGTGATCAGGGGAAAAAAGAAGCAGGAAAAAATATCCGCCACCCTCTGTGCTCATAGTATAATCAAGCTGCCAAATAATGTAATGTCATGGCACAAACTGTTAGTGATGATTTTACAAAAGCCAATATGGCAGCTGTCATGAATTATTCATGACCATTATTTTTCCCCGCAATGTTTCGTGTAAGCCAAGCACAAGAGACAGCACATGCTACGATTTGGTACATATATTCAACATTGCTCATTGCCGTTAATCTTTTCTTTTATTGGCCAGACTCATATTCCAAGTCTGCAGGAACATTTCTGAATGAGCGTTCATGTATCCAGTGTCTTTATTGTTCCTCTGTTTCCTGTGGAAGTTGTGGGGAGATTGGTGTTTTCGACAGTTAACACCCTTCAAATGAATTCTGATCTGTTATCCTTTCTGTGTCTGCGCACTGAAGAGCAGAGGACCTCGAAAGCAGAGGGCAGGTTGTTAACGCGCTGAAGTGGCTGCAAAAAAGTTGCCATCGCTAGGGGGCGAGGTTCACCTAGCATCACAAAAGCCTGAAAAGTGTTTTTAGTTCAGCCACTGGGGCGCACCAGAGTCAGGAAATCAATCCTTTAAAGACGATATTTCACATATTCTTTGCCGAACCTAAACAAACAGAAGAGAAGGCGGTGGTCGGCTTTTCAGTGCAAGCAGTGAGCCAGGTCAGCAGCTGTGCGCAAGTAGCCGGGGGCGGCAAGCGCAAGCACGAAGGAGTCGCGAACACGGCGCCCCGCAGACATTCTGGGTAGCAGGAGCGTTGTTTGCCACGTGGATCTGCAGGTCTGGTTTCAGGGCACTGACAGGTTTGGTTTGGCCCAAGGTGGCAACAACAGGCGTTGTGGAGTTTAAACCTGGAGCTAAATTTGACACCCCCCTCCTCAGATTCAAGCACGATTTGGTTTGTGCCCACCCCCAGTTATTCAGATTTGCGAGACAGGAATTCGGTACTTGGTTTTATCTGGCGGTTATTTAATCAGTGAATTAATAACCCATGCTGTACAAAATAATAGCTTACTATTTTTCAAGGCCTAGACTGATGGGTAGTTCTACGTTACTGAACACAAAGCATATGAAAGCCATATATGGACCACTGAATTTAGACGCCATTCACTAACGCTGACCTCCTCCCTGTTGCACGTACCACCAGCTCGGGCAGCACAGAATGGTTTGAATTAAGCCCACAAGTCCTGCCAAACAAGAACAGCGCTATGGTCATTAGGCCCCTGCAGAACAAATGAAACAGTCTGGAAGTGCGTGGTAAGGAGGGCTCTGTGGGAGCAGTGACTAACAAAGCGCAAACAGCTGGGAGAACTCAGATGCAAAACTTTGCTCTCACATCTGTAGATTAATTTTTCTATGGCCCATTATAAGAGCTGGAGCTGTTTGCACAGTGCAGAGCCAAACTAGGCTCATTCGTGCCTCTCAGCTTCCAGAATGGACAAGGAGCATTGCCTGGGCCACATCTCTAGCCCCAAGAGCGAATGCAAGCCTGTTATTTTAAGGGAAGGGAAATGAGGATGGCTTGATTTATGAGCAGAGCTAGTGAAAGAAAAATAATGACATGTTTTTAATACTGATGTTCTGGTCTCTTGTTTTGCTCACAATGCATTTATGTTCTTACCTCTTTACTAAAAATGATTTTGGCATTTGCTGAATCCTAAAGCTAAAGTCAGTTAGCAAAGCCTTCAGATGTTTGTTTACAGTGACTCTTACAGTGTATTCTGAGCGCATGCTATTGTTTTTGCTCTTTGTTTAGATGTCCCTTTAAAGACATACAGCAAGTGACAGATACCAAATACAGCTATGAAAACAATGTGTGCAGTTTATGAATATTTGCTCTTTAACCAGTTCAGATGCTAGCGACTAGCTAAATTAAATTCATCCTTTCCAGTCTGGCCACTGATCTTCAGTACACAACTTTACAGATACTGCACTTGAGACATTTTGATTTTAAATTGTGTGCTGAGCGCACAAACTTACAACTGCAGTCAGACTGCCTTGCATGAGAAGAATGTGCGCACACTGGAATGACAGCAGTCTCCAGCTGTATCACTTAAATTTAAGGAACCAGGAATCAAGGACCCCTTATAAAAATTTGTGACTCAGCTAGTGAGTTTAGGTGTCCTTTATTCTACTAAGAAGTTCTGAGGGATCAATAGCTAATAGTACTGCAACAGTACAGATTGCTCACAAATATTACTAGATGTAAGAACTTGTAATTTAGCTGGTACACAGACTTCTCTTTAGCTCATAATAAAAGTGGACTTTTTGGGTGATTTTTTTTCATGCCAAGATTATTTCCAGAAATAAATGAATAATATCATAGCACTTAAACTTCCTGTAAGGGAGAAGAACACATGCAATTTCCATTAGCTGCAACAAAATGGCTACCTGGGGGAAAAAAAGCAAGAGAGAGAGGAAGAGAAAGAGTATGTGGTCATTTTGCAGCGACAAATTAAAGTAGCCATCAGTCACTGCAGTGAAACCTTTCGCTTAACTTATAGCCCTGGAGATTCCTTATCATTAATATTTCTGCCAGCTCAGTAGAGTACACCTACACAAAGGGCAGGAGAAACGAAGCCTTTCAATCGGTCTTGCAGCAGAAATGGAGAATTTCAGATACCAGGAGTGCACAGATGCTGCCCAAAGGCTGTCTCCACAGAGCCTCGTTATCTGTTCAGACACTGGCAACTGCATCTGTGTTGCATACAGTGCTGCAGCTTCCGGCAGTGACACACCATGACAGTGGAAGGTGTTTTAACGACAGCTGGTTGAATTATTTGTTGCCACTGGCATTCACTGGGAATTTAGCCTTTGTTTCCACGAAGACCCAATAGTTCATTGAATATTCATGATAAATTAATCAAAATCCTTCAGCCTAAGTTATTGCCCTTTGCTGGCAGTGTGTTACTCTGCTCCCACTAGTTTTTTGAATCAGGATCAATACATGATATAAAGAGAGTTTCTTGCTGAACAGCAGCAGGCTGGCCTGAGGGCATTATGTTCTGCTGATGTGTCTGGAGCACGACTGTAGGAGGGGAGCTGAGGTATAAAGTCTCAAGGTCTATTACTTGCCCAAAGGAGTGAGTCACCACTGGCTACCTAGTTTCTGTCACATCTCCATGGCTCAGTTTGATTATCTGTGAGAGAGAGTTAATGCTTCTCAACACAGCATGAGTGGAGGAGACTTACTTACTGTTTCCAAGTTACTTATGAGTCAACAGTCATACTCTTATCTCCCCTATGCTGACAATAAATCTTGAAATCCTATTTCAATTTTTTTTTTCCTTTGTTGCTACAGATACAAAGGTTTTAAAGGCAACTGCTCCGTTTCTTTCATTGAGCAGTTCAGAGTCCTTCACCAGTGCAATAAGTATTGTGAGATGCTGGGATTGAAATCTCTCCGATCCACTCATCAAAAACAGAGGAAGCCAACATCCACAAAAAGCAAAACTCTGCCAAACTCAACAACTGTAAAGAAAACAGTGCCCAGCGCCCAAGAAAGTAAGAGAACGGAGACTTCATTTCTTCGGAGCATTGAGTAGCGCTGGCCCGACTTGTGAAAACTTCTTGAGGACATGTAGTAGTGTGATAGGTGCTGATGACCTGTTGGGGGGGATAACTTGAGTCCTTTGCCTTCTGACATTGTTTTGAAGCCATGCTGATGCTAATGCCAGCAGCAAAGAAAGGAGCTGACTCTATGACCTAGCTAGGTAAGAGTTAACACCAGGTGAAGGTTTTGAAGACAAACTAAGCCGTCTGCCCGGATTATCTTGCAATTCTTCTATATGCTTATATCTGCACATTTTGAGTCTTAGACTTTGTGCACAACAAGGTCATTAGAGAACATCTTCCCTCATACGTGTTTATGCCAGTGACCCTGTGGGTTCAGCTGCTATGTAAACATCAATATATCTAAGATGCCACTTAGTAAAGGTTTTGCACTAGTATTGTTATTCAGGCTGTTCTAGAACAATTGCTTTCTTGACTCTACAATTAACCCCGTGGTGGAGTACTTTTGCACTTGCACTGATACTGTTGTAGCATAGAGGTCAGGAGTCTCCAGGCTGCCAGAAAGCTACCATCTGAAATAAGCCATTAAGAGATGGAGGATATTTCAGTACCTTGCAATATTTACAATTAAAATACGCATGATGACTTTTCTGTGTAGCATAGAGATGTTTTTGAAGGAACATAGCAGGTGCCTTGGGCCAATACTTAACTGCTAAAGAGGCATGATTTACCCAGAATGCCTAGACAGTGCCAGAACTGGAAAAAGATGCTGTTTTCCATCATACTTAAGCGTAGCTTATGTGGAGATTGGAAGCCAAAGGAGGGAACTATGCATGTTGGAGCACTGCAACAAGTTTACTGGAGCTTGGCCGTTGAAAAGCCCATCCTGCAGTGCCAGACACACAGAATACAACCACTGAACAGTGTCAGACTTCTTAATTCCGAGTGATTATTAAATAAAATGTGGTGCCAAGAACCGACACCCTTATAGAAGCCGGGAGTGCAAGAGTCCTATCAGTGCTGAAAGAAGATAAAGAGATTTCAAAGTAGGTTCTGCTTTGTATTCATAAACTGTGGGTGCTAATAAGAGGGGAAGTGTAGGGGGCTAGCTGACACTAGGGATAGAAACTATCTGACTGCAGTATAGATGTGAAGACCTGGGCTAGTCATCCTGGGCCCCTCTTACAGTCAGTTGAGGTCTGGGCAGTGGGATCTAGAGCAAGATTCAGGTCATCTGAAAAACAGACATCTAAAACAGGTTAGATGAACTGAACCAAAAAGTGCCTATTTCTCTCCATTGAGTGTAAAGGAAGCACAGAGTGTCAGACAGACAACTACATTGTAAACATCTAATGTTTCATTGGATGAAGCCCTCCAGAACTGTGAGTTTTTAATAGTTTTCTACTAACTTAGGCAGAGGAGACTATTACAAAACATCATGGCAGAAATGTGAGTGGTATTGCAGTCCACATAAAATGAAATACATGAAAGACTATTTGAAAGATGAGTTTTTAAATAGAAAATGCAAAAAGAAGTTGAAAATTCAGGAGAGTCTGTGACTGATGTATGGATAAAGAGTCTATCTTTGAGTCTACAGAGCTGAATCCCTGCTCAGAGACCAGACTGTGACTGAAATCTGAGACAAAACATTAAGAATGAAAGCTTTACAAAACAGTTACAGTGTGCTGAGGATGGGCAATCATTCATTTTAAAATAAAGTTGAATGGCAATGTGTTGCTATTGTGGAGAATCTGAAGAGTCGCAAGAGACTGGAGGTAGAAAAGTAGATAGAGCAGAAGTTCTGGAAGAGTCAGCAAATACAACAGGCAGAGGGAGATGGGGCACAAATGAGACAGATGGTTTTATTGACACAGGCTATACAGTGAGGAAGGGATGTTCACAGGGAAGCCCCCTTGCTCTGGTTTCTCAGTTGTTCAAACTAGGAACCAGTCTGTTTACCTACACCTCTCTCCCAGCCCAAATGAAGTCAGTGCGTATGAGGGAATGAGAAACAGTATGTAGCCAGCCAAGGCCTCTAGAAATGAGGATTACAGCAAGCCGCTTTCCACTGCCGCCTGACAATAGTCAGTGCCTTGTTTATTTGTGCCTGGAATTCTGTTGTGTGTTGATGCTGATTGCTAAGTGCAGTTCTAGCTGGCTTTGTAGAGAAAGTAAGATGTTGGGAATGGGGCATATCGTGGGCTCTGGCACATTCCAACACTTGGGACAGTTGTGTCAGTTGGGGCACGCATGTCAGCGCCCAAGCAGTTAGCATGAAGCTGGCCCCCATCACATTTCTTATTAGCCCTTTACCTTTCTGTGGTGATCGCAGAGGCTTTGAGCAATGGTCTGCTCCAGACAGCTTTCCATCAAAAGAGAGTGCGAATATGGGAAGGCAAGTCTACCACAGGGCTTTCCAATTCTTCTGTAGCCGTGTGTGGGAGTGGTGTGCTGGACAACATAACACATCCTAGTGACTAGGCTGCTTGCGCGTCACAGCCCAGGGGACACTGTAAGAAACCTGCATAAAAGGGTGAGAGAGGCCTGGCATAGCCATTGAACTTGAATTCCCTCATGCCCTGCTAAGAATAGAAGGTTTACTCTGGGGCTGCTGCCTGATCTGGATGCTCTGTGTGTGTGTGTGTGCATCAGCATGCATATATGTTTGCAGGCCACCTTTACTTTGCCTAAGGCACTTTTCATGTACGAGCTGAAAAGTGATTCCCTAGCTTTATAGAGCAGATGGCTTCTGGCCATTCAGGAAACAACAATTATGATTGTGCCTTGCAACATCTTTGGGAAGGAAATTTGCTTCCGTTTCCTTTCCACTTTTTAGCGTTTAGCTTCCTCATATTTCTGATCTCTAGGAGACAGGGCATTGGTAAACCAAACCCCACTGCAACCTTAGAGAACCTTAGTTTTGTTAATATTTCATGCCTGCCTAAAAATGTCACCTTATTGCATTTACTTTGTGTGTTCACTACTGATGACCACACAGAGACTATGAATATCATCCTTGCCTGGAAAGAAGTAAGTCTTAATCCTGCAAGTGACTAAGCTCAGAGGGATTCTTGGAGCTCCCATCTGGGACCAGCGTTCCATCTCTGCAAAGTTATTTGCAGGACTGAGTCCTACCTTTCTTCCTTACTCATTCGTCAAAAACTTGGAGACAATGTTCTTCACACCTGTTGGCCAAAATAACCATAGTAGAATCCATAGAGCTGAATCATGATGTTTATGCTCCACATATCCATGGAACACAGTACATTGCAAGGCTCTGTGCTACTTTCCAAAGAAAAGAAGATCACGTTCACGTCCTCCGGTAACAAACAAAAATGAATCTTTTATAATATTTTCCTCTGTGGAGAAGCCCATAGAGCGCGTCCCTGTACACCAAGCCCATTGATGGACCATATTAGTTAAGGACTCAGAGCACATTCTGGTTATGTTGCTATTTGGATGAATTTGCTATTTACTACTCAAAGGCTAATTGTGATTTTCTTATTATTGATCTTGTGAAGTAAATGTGTATGTATGTGGAGCATTATATAATAACAGGCCATCATATTTGAATTAAATAGACATATTTCCCAACTAAATTGGTTGCTTTTCCACTGCTCAGGAGTTTATTGAACATATTTTGTTTATTAATAGGCATATTATACTGCTGATGTATTACAACACTGAGCAAATCACAATTCCTGATTTTCTATCAGTGGAATTTCTGAGTGATGATAATAGGAAAACTTAGCAATACACTGTTTTAAAGCAGTCATTTACTTCTACTAGAACAAAAGCTTCAATTATAATAATGACACAAGATCCTGTTAAAATTCAGTCATTACCCTTGAGTTCAGCTACAAGTGAATTGCATTGAAATAATTACACATTAATAGCTGCCAAAAGGAGAAAAAGCTTAACTGCTTACCTCAGCTTAAAGCCAAGTTTTAATGCCTTGCTCAGTCATGGTACACACATATCATTGCTCTTTGATATATCTAAGGGAATTAGAGAATAGAGACTTTGCTTTTTATGTTTCCTTGTTACCTCTTCCTCTTTCAGCTGAGCGCTTGCTCAGGTTTCTTGTTCTGCCCTCCTAGCTGTCTGTCTGACACATAGGAACTCTGTGGCCATAATATCTTCTCTATATAGGAATATCTTCTTTATGTAGGACCCTCTCAAAAAAATCCCATTTCCTTGTTTAAATTTCCAGGTCTTACTATAGTATAAAGAATTTAGAATTCAAGTAGGCTGACAGGATACTAAGAGAGCTCCAGGGTGCGTGTCAAAAACAAGGGAAATGGTAATTAATGTGCCATATGTCTGCCCATGTCTAAAATGTCCATGTCAGATTTAAAAAAAAAAGACTTTTTTAATAATTGCTCTCATTTGTAGACTGGTAACTAGCCACTCTACCCTCCTTAATCTTGCTGTTATACAAGATACTTATATACTATGTATCAGGAAGTATTTCCCAGCTCTTTGAAAAATAATGAAAATTGAGCGCATTTAATCTCAACTTTAAACAAAGGTCTAAGCTAAGAAGTTAGACTGGGAGGAGAAAGTTGGTCCTATTAATGGCAGTTGACTTCAATGGCACAGGAAAGATTCACGTACTAGAACCATGGTTTTACCCTGATGTACCTTTGTTTCCAATATGCATCAGCTGGATGTCTGCACAATCTGCAGTGAAATCACAGTTATCAGTAGGGTAAACAATATTCTCACTGGGCTTTAGATTTAATGGCCCATCGAGAAGAATGGGAGAAACATCTTACCTGTCTCGCAGCATTTTAATCTGAGCCAAATTCTGTTTTTCAGCTTTTCACAGAAAGGACCCATTCAAAGTTTTCATGAGCAAGTTTAATAAATCTGTTTTCTGATCACAGAAGATACATCAGCAAATCAGAAACTGGAACACTTCCAGGTTAATTCCTGTTGCTAGCAGTTGCATTGTTATATTAATAGATGTTCATGAGCACACACAGAATGAATAAATTGCACCGTGTCCTAATAGCAATTTTAAAATGTTATGCTTTTCATAGGGCCACCACAGTAATTTAGGCTGATGAACTAATGCTTTGTGATTTAAGTTCTGTTACACAGACTAACAATGATAAAACACTCAAGAATGGAGAATCAATAAAGCTTCTACAGGATGTTTCTTGTTCAAAAGTAATCACATGAATGGCTTATAGGCATTGAGTTTTTAAAGGTATATGTCCCTCTAGATAAATTGATGATTTTTACCTGTTCTTTCCCAATTTTTAAGTGCACTACCCCAGCTCCACTGGTAATATTTTCCACAACACCTAAGGTATTTCAGGGCATAGGTCCACATCCACAAAATAGTGGGTGCTCAACGCTTAAGATGCTCTTTTTTCCAAAATGTGTCTTGAATACTTAGAACGTCATTGCTCAATAGAAATTGGCCTCCTCAGTCCGTTCCGAAGTGGAACCTCAGGTACTTCTGAAAGTTTCACCCAAACCTTCAGGAGTGTTCAGATGCATCAGTGAATGAATCAGAATACATCAGTCCTCCAAGGATTCAGGAAAAGAGCTGACCTTAAGCTTTTGGAAAAACAGTGCACAGTTGCTGGGAATCAGCTGCAGACTCTGGTTCCAGCTTTAGATCTTAAATAACAATGACCCTCACAAGAAGAAAGTCCTTGGCATAGAAAAAGGTCAGTCTGGCCCTGAAATATGGGTAGATAGGCCTGGAATGCAGAATAGTTGGCAAAACTTTTAACCAAAGTGACTGTAGCATTTTTTTCAACCTCTTCAGGAAGACAGATCCTTGCCATAAAACTTAGATTATTCTTCAGGTTCAAGTTTGGGGAAAAAACCAACCAAACAAAAACCGAAAGTGCTAAGTTTTAGCATTTGAATCTCTCTCCATGACTGACTAGCCTTGGGTGTACAGATCATTGCAGCACTTTGGTACGTATTCCCAGCCGTTACGCACGCACTTGCTTTACAAACTGCTTGACCCAGGTCTCCAGAGGATGCAGCTTCAGAAGGGAGCTGATGTTATTTCAGATGTGCCTCTGAATGTTTATCCACTTGAAGGAGACTGCAAGATGGAGGACACCATCAGAAACCAGGCAGTATGTTCCCCAATCCATTCTTTATAGACTATGTAGCAAGAGAAAATTGACTGGGTTTTCTTTTGTATGCAGTTCTTATTGGGGGAACTTTTTAATATAACTCCCACAGCTCAACCTCACATAACCTAAGAGTAAACTGCAGGGATTCAGCTCCATTATGTCTTTTTTCTTCTCTCTCCTAAAGAAACTTCGGTGTATCTAATACTTGTGTGGGTGTTGTAAAGGTCATGTAGCTCTACAATAAAAGCCTCAATAAATGACTTTTCATTTTGAGTTTTAAAAGCACAGTAGTAAGAAAATAATAGGGAGAGAGGATTAATCTACACGGTTATCATCCTGCCACAGAGCACCAGGGGAAGGTTAGGAGCTGTTTGCCCACATGGATATTTGACTGAATATTTTAAATGGGTTTCCTTTAATACATTGCAAATAGGACCCGGGGAGCCTGTACTGCCCTTGCCCCACTGAAGTACAAGGTTCATATTTTACATGTCTAAAAGCATGAATGCTGTGGAATAAGCTGTGATGACATTGCAAATGGTGGAGCTAGTCCAGAATGACAGCCTCAATCTCCTGCTAGTTCTGTTGATATCATATGGATATTACGCTCAGGCAAGCAACACATGAGGTTCACTGAGTGGGAGGAGAGAAACAGCGTAAGATGTTCTTCAAACAGGAAAAACTGCTTTATGAATAATCAGGAGAAGAGCAAGCAACAATGGTGCAAGCTCCCTAGACAGCACTGCAGGTATGAGGAGGGAGGGAAGGGACTCTTCATTTTTCTCTCAATCAGATGTTGAGAAGAGAAGTAGCTAGCTGCAAAAGCATTACCCAGAGGGCCATGCAGACAAAGTCGCTTTTGCTTGCTTGCTTGCTTCAGGGCCAGAGAAAAGAGAAAGAAGGATTTCCTGTTCTCCTCCCCCCACCAACTCACCTTCACAAAGGTTCCCAAAGATTCCTTCAGCTATTAGTTATTTCTCACCAAAGGCCTTCTGAAAAAGAAACCATAATTATCTGCAGCTTTGCTGATTTTACTGTGAGGTCTGCCGTACGCTATTATGGGTGTGAAATTTCTGTGATTTGGTTAATCTTGTACGACAGGAGAATACTGGCTTTGGGAGCCTTTCTGCTGCTGCTGCTGCTGGATTCCAGCTATGTTGGTGGATGCCATCTGAGGTTGCTTGCTATGAAACAGTGGCAGAATAATGCTTAGTGGCCTTACAGATGTCCAGTCTGTGCCAAATGTTTTCTGGCCCATCAGATCAGTCTTTCCAGCTCATCATCTGCTCCTTGCAGACACAAGACAGGATCTAACCTTATGCAATGCGGCAGCCCAGTCCTTACCTTCTCCTTCACAGAGACCTTGCAGCCCTTCTCTTCTTCACTAAAAGTGCACTTCATGAACCAAATTCATGTTCCCCCAAATACACAGTAGATGGGTATTTGGTCTTTTGACAGGTGCACATGTGGGATCAGATAATGACAGCTGCTTGTCTGCTGTGGCTAGATCTGTGCCATTTACATGGCACCAAGACGTAACTTTTGCACCCACAGTCTGGTGATATGACAGGTCCCTATCCAGTGACAATACAGGGACAGGCTCGTCCTCAGGAGCCAGCAGAAAACCTTAGTAGAACATCCCAAAAGGTCAACACTGCTGCTACAGAAAGGTGTCTGAATGAGCTTCCTGTGTAACATAAGAAACATCAGAAAGGAGGAAAAACACCAGGATATTTCTATCCATCCATCCGTGCTTATCTGGCAGCCAACATTAAGATGTATTGTTCCTGAAAGCAAAACCACAAAAGGGAAGAAGAGATCCACAGGTGCAGTATGTATTGGAAGGATGATGATAGAGAAGTGGGATAGCAATGGATCAGCCATTGGATCAGCATCTACCACAAGCGAAGAAACACGGGAAAAGAAGGAGAAGGAAATGGAGATGTACCAGAACCTGATACAAGTGAGTGTAGCTGAGAAAATGGGACTGAATCAGGGAAACATAGGAGGAAGATCTAAACATTAAAAAAATACTGAAAGAAGTATCAGAACAAACTACAGGGGCACAGGACACGTTTCTTTTCACAGAAGTTAATGCTTCTGTTGATGCTACTATTGTATGGGCCATCAAGAGAGTGATCAGATCTATGAATGTGGAAATGACATCAGTAATTCTTTTCTTCTGACAGAGTGGTCACCAGAAGCAATTCAGTGTTCAAGACTGGCCACCTTGCTCAACTCTTAGGGGCATTCAGGACACAAGCTTCAGGATTCAGAAAGTAGCAGGGAGCCCCTGCTGCTCCCCAGTCAAACACAGCTCTTCTCTCCTGTGCCTATACAGCAGAGCCAAAGGGTGCAGGTCTGTCACACCCACAGGTGATGCCAGTTCCCCCATCACCTGAGCTTTCCAGTACTGTCTCAGTAGGAAGGGTCTTGTGCCGGAGCAAAATGCAAGACCTAAAATAGAGCTAATGAGGCCAGTTTACAGAGAGGCGGAGGAGGTTCCCTTTTCATATCTTCCACCTTCCATTCCATTTTGAAATATCTCAGAAAGGACTTTTTTTTTAAAGACATTGGCATCACTACCGAGTAACATAGTTCCTGCCAGTGGTTTCTGTCAGGACTCAGTTTTTTTCTAGACTTGTATAATGTTGGCCAGTGGACTAACCAGTATGAGCACACGGCTGGTCAGGGCACCGAACAAACAGAGGCAAGTGTGTGGTGGATGTGTTGCAGATGCAGGGCTTCAGGTGTGTTGCCATGTGAATGCAGCACATGTCCCTGCCTCCAGGGACAGACCAGCTCTGAAATCAGTACAGCTATGCTACTGAGCTAAACCTTACCCCACCTGAGTGGAATTTGTGCTGAACCATGTCAGGTGCTTCTGCATCATGTTCCCAGAAACTGGAGCACTGCTGACTTATCTACGTGACAAAATGGGGTAAAAATATCTTTGCCAACAGGCTGGCCAGCATGGTAAGGAGGGCTTTAAACTAGGAATTAGGGGGAGGGAGAGAATGACCAGCAGTCAAGGAAGGAAGTGGTAGATGGGGTTGGCAACCAAAGGGTCTGGGGTGATGTAAACAGAAGGGAACTCTTGACCAACAAAATGAGGCTGAAGCAGAATGACCCCAAGTGTATGCATGTAGATAACGGGGAGAAAACAGGAGGATTTAGAAGTCTGTGTGCAGCTACAAGGCTATGATCTCATTGGGATCACAGAGATGTGATGGGATAGCTCGTGACTGGAACGCTGTGATGGATGGATACAGGCACTTTAGGAAGGACAGGCTGGGAAGGTGAGGTGGGGAGTTGCCTTTCACATGAGAGAGCAACTGGAACATAAAAGTCAGGGGCAGCCATGAGGTGGTGGAGTTCAGTGTCTGCACTGACAGTTTTATGTCCTGTTTGAAGTCAACTGGTAAGTAGTTCTTTGCGGCCTTACTAAATAAAGCAATGAAGTCTCACGTTTGAACAGGTAGTGTTATTTCCAGAGCGTCACACGCTAACACAAAGCATCAGCAATGCCATCCTTTACCTTCATTTCTTCATAGATTTCCCTAGAACCCTGTTTTCAAACCTGTTGCTTGAGTCATGGGCATCCGAGTCAACTAATGTTTCAAATCTGTGTGTTTTAATTAGGTGCCAGATTTTGACTACATCAGCTGATTG